CATACTGGCGGACGGATTAAGAAGTTCTCTGAGTTGTTCTAATAATTCATTGGATGAAAATCAATAATAACTAATAGATTAAAGATGACTGTTGGGGGATTTTTGCGCACCTAGGCATGGTTGTGATATTCGCAGTGTTATAATTAAAATACCATGTTAGCTCTTGGAGAGGGCAATATAGTTCCAAAGGTGGTATTACCAATATATCAGCTGAAATACGGATTAGCTAAAATAAATGCAACTGATAAATAAAATAAATATTTTCACACTGGCCTATGAATTAAGCCTATATGCTACCAACGATGCTATCTAGTCATTGACAGTGGAGGCGCAAAGTATCGTAATGACAAAACAAATAAACAGTGCAGCATCTAAAATATTTACTTTATACTCGGACGAGTGATACCATACAGCTGCTCAGACAAAAGCAGGTGGAGTAACGTTGGCAGTATCTTGATCCTATAGACCAAACATTGGAATATAAACCATTAGTTTGTAAGTTCAAATCTTACCTAGTTTCTTATCGGTTGCGAGTAGTTTTCGAACTCCAAAGATATAATCTTGTATATAATTGCTAATTTACAATAGTACATAAGGAATTTATTTTATCTCATTTGTCATGCGAAAGTTGCTTGGTCTAGAAGAGTCTCAGGAGATGTACCACACGAAATAAAATGGAGTTATGAAGAAACGAAAGAGAAAATCGGTTAGTGTTAGAAGAAGAGTAGGAATATAAAATGATATCATTATAATTAGAAGGATGGTTTCCGCTTGTCTCAAAGGTGTGTTTGACTGTCGGCGAATAGCATAACAGAAAACTGCAGTACTGTTGCCACTAAACAATGTCAGGAAACATCAATTCACGGACATATGAGACCTCTAGAATCTCACTTAGGCATACATAATATACAAACAAATACTCATCTAACATAACCATTTCGGATTTTGTTGTACAAAAGCAGACCAAACACCTCCCTCTTTAATCTACTTATTTCCAGAGTCATCAAATAATACATTTGTGAGTTTAAAATAATGTAACAAAATAGTACTAATCCCATTAAGTCCAGAACTTCAACATGACACGATCAAGAACTCAAATTCAAAGTACGCAGTATGATATTGTATTACTATGATCGATTTAAACACAACATTACATATTTAATTGTAAGGTCAATGTATTGGCTATTCACCACAACATTCTATGGAGTCCGCTTTTAGTCGTATGTGGAACACATCCAACCTATTAATGTCAGTGCTTCATAATAAAATTACTTATCGGAACACAGTCTTCATTACAGCCAAGCATATATTGCTTTGTCTAACCATTTCCTATAAAGTATAGCTTATGTGCACGAATAATGCTTTGTACCAGCAATAATCGAAAACCTGATGTAAAACTTCAGTTCATGATATAATGTATAAAAATCTAGACCTTACATTCCTTATCCATAATTACACTGAATATATCAGCATGTGTGGCTGTTAATCATTGTTTGAATGGGTTATTCTCCTTTCATGCCCATCCAAGTTATCTGAACATTCAGGAAAACACCTCTTCTACCGCTACTGTGTATAGAGTAGGTCAAATATAAAATAAAGGAGTCTAGAATTACTTCAATTACATAACGAATTGTTCAAGTAAAGTTTTTATGTGTGTGTGTTTTGTAACACACAAAAATTTCAATACTACCATGATCAATTGTATTATTCTCTTTTGTTTTTGGTCATGATTATTTCTCATATAAAAACTAATTTGCATTCCACGGTTGCCGTTATTGTAAAAGTAAGTAAAGAAGGTAGCAACTGTCACCATCAGTAATAATTTTAGATGCTTTCACGCTAAGTTTTTTTTAGAACGAATACTTGTTTATTATCCTTTATTCCCAATATATATCAAGAAATATCTCAGTATATACAGTGATATATACATAATTATCATTGCACTTTTGCTGTTTTAAATGGTCAGAGCACTTTTTTGAAGTAAATCCATTTCTATTGTATTGTTTACTGGTGAGTTGGTCGGTTAGGAGTTTCATAAATAGATAAAGTAAAGTAAAATTATTTAATCACTTTACACCAAGTGTATTAAGTAAACACAAGCAGATTGAAATAAGTGGTAAACATACATACATACACGTTGATAGAAAGTAAACTTAACAATAATATGTATTCGAATTCTAGTCAAAAAAGTGCTTAGTTTGGCCACGAATGTTTAATCTTAGATATTTATTGGAGTGTAGTGTTTGTAATGCTAAGTGACACTTATCAAATGGTTTTATTTGTACTTGATGATTCTTACATTTTGTGCTGTGAGATATCTAATTAAGCTTGGACGCCTAAAATGAACATACCATAAGCTGAATTAGAAATACTTTATTTCCAGATTAAGGTTCTCCCGAATATTGCAATATATAAATGAGAATGTCACGTGATATGACCCGAAATTGATATTAGTGATACATATGTATTCATTTATTCGTCCTCTTGTTTCTGAACCTAAATATATATTCTTCATACTTGTCCTTTACCTAGTAGACACTATATTTTGTTTTCCACAAAAGACTGTTACTTATTAAACCGATGTGTTTCCAATTTTTTATTCTTTTTATAGTGTTGTTAAATGTGTGGACATTAGCTAATATAAACTAATGGTAGAACCTTCGTTGTTTATGGCTAACTAATTCTTGCCCATAAAATTGCGTAACAACTTCGATTGTTGTTATCATTTTCTAGGATTTCATGGTACTGAGCAAAAGGCAATGGTAAATGACGCCTAGATCAATTTGTTGGACGCGATGAAGTACTTCGTTCTTTGATTCCAATTACAAGACATTAATCGTTAAATAAATAAATTTTATATACTATCAGTCCCAGTTCTTTCCCAATTATTTTCTGTCTTGTAAGATGGTTATATTTAAACAAGTTACTGTGACCTGTTTAGTAGTAATAACAGATTACCAATAATAATTTTTCGCGTATTCAGCAAAACTGAATTCGGATGATTTTCTTAGAAAATTAATCTTGAATTATTTTAAAAATCATATATCTAAACTAGACCGCCATTGAAAACCTGGAAGCACTGTACGGCCGTTTCGTTCTGGTATGAAACTCCTCAGCAGTGCGCATCTACGATCCCGCACGCATGACTCGAACTCAGGCTCTTCAGCCTCACGCGCGAACACTTAACCTCTAGACAATTCAGCAGGGATCCAATGGCATTAGTGTCTATTTCTAGTGAGAATCCGTGACCACTGGAGTCCAACCCGTGTCGGATGTGAAAGTTATCCACCTCAGACAATGGATGAAGGGTTGTGCAAGGTCGTGGATCGGTTGAGATTAGATATTAATACTTTTAGAGGTCAAAAGTTCGCGCGTGAGATTAGAGGGTCTGGTTTCGAGTCACGCGTGTGTGATCCAAAATTATTATATGGACTTTAAGTTTTGTTGTGGAACAAAGTAATTCCATTAGATATCTCTTATTAAACACCCTAAACATTTGTCTCGATTTGCTGTAAATGATTATTTATGTTAAACACTAAGAAACCACTGAGACATTTCGTTTGTACTTGAAAATTTCTCATTCACCTCAAACTCAGATATTTAATTTCCTAGTAAAACGTTCGTTAAAAAATTACCAATAAGTAATGAGTTTCAAACAAGTTTTTCCGCAGTATGAAGTTATTCGGTCGCTTTACGAGATTCCAAGCGGAACTAAATTGTATAAATTGATTTTTTCTGATATTTTCTAAGCTCTCAAGGATTTAAATGCTGTTGAAGAAAAAGTTTCATTAGTTATTGTTGAATAAGAACGCCGAATGGGTGAATATATTATTATTTTATAAGAGCTAGTTTGAGATTCAATGTGAAATAAGAAAGAATTGTACAGGATAACTGTTAGGTTAAGGAGGAAGAATGTATTTGTAGAATGTCAGTGAATGAATTTGTTATGTAATTTCCAAAATTATCTACAGATGCTTGATATGGTAGAAGCAATAAGGACAAAAGTATCTGGATAGCGTGAATCGAATTTGACCGCAACATGCAGTTTGCAATCATGACATTAACAAACAAAAGTGTTAGTGAGTGTCTGATCTTGAAAAAAAATGCCAGTGGAATATTTGGATAGAAGCTGAAAACATGAGATATAAATATAATGATAATTTCAAAAACGTGTGAAAACTGATTAAAATTAGATTCTAATAGTTTGAAGAATAGGAGATCAAAATATGACTGGTAACTGATTTACAAATTTACCAAATATTCAATGGCATCTATGCGTCGTCGAATACCGATTGGCAGTACTATATGTTAAGATCCATTTTATCTATTAGTCGATATCAAATACTATTCAGTTTAATTTATCTGAAATTTTATCAATAATCAGTGTAAATTAGGTAGAAATAGCTTTTAATTTATTTTTAGTTTCGTTGACTTTTTCTTGCATCAAGTAATACCAATGATTTTGTTCAGTTATAAGATATCCCTGAAACGAAGTTTTCTGGTGATTTAGATGTTAAATGATTAGGTAACAGTTGAACATTTCTATGTTGTTCAGTGTCATCCTCAGAAATTTCATTGGAAGAAAATATTATGAAAATGAAGAATTCCTCATATGAAGTATCCTCATGATTAACCCATATATTAATTTTCCGAATTTTCATCTCATTGTACAAGTTTTTTAACCATTTAATCACAAAGATCTGATGAAACCTATCCATATTTATCAGACACTTTAACCCACCTCCACAATTACATGTGAGAAAATATTTTCAACCAATAATAAAAAAATACTTTTTGTTTCTTTCAAAAAAAGACAGCTGATCGTTAATTGGTGGATTAACAAATTTAAGTCCTCTGAAATGAGATGTTGAGAAATTCATTTTCCTACTACTCACTCATTAATAACAAAGTTATTTACATTTATTGTTAAGATAACTACTTTACAAATGATTTGGTCAAATAAAATAACTATTGTTGGTTTCGTTTTACTGTTTTCTATTATGCCATTCACCGAGTGTCTGCCTCAGTCTAAAGAAAATCAAATCATTCCTGGTTACTCTGCGTAAGTTACTATTGATGACAATGACTTTTATTCATTAGTTTTTAAATAAACTTTCCCTGGGAAAGTAACTTTCGTTACCAATTGATGTCAACTGAATAACTTATTATTACCAAAAAGTAATGAACATTCAGTTCATCCTTGAATGAAAAAATTCCTGATGATTTATATTTCTTAGTGATTCTGTAGTTGAAATTACTTCTTGATAGAAATTATCATCGGAGTATACAATATTTTGCTAATAAAAACATCCCATTTAATTCTTTCTTTTTAGCTAAGACTTATTTCAGTAGTTTAAAGATAAGGTTTGTACTTATTATTGGATTAGTGTGTGAACAAACTTAAATTGGTTCAAATTTAAAGATCATCCTATGGATTTAAAGTATCTAAGTAACTTTATCAAAAAAATCTTCGGAATGAGTTTTCACATTCTACAGAAAATTCTTATTTGTTAGTGAAAGATTAAAATACTGAGAATGATTTAATGAATTTCTTATCAATAAATTACTGGTTTGTTCCAAAATGTTTTTAAAGGTTATTTAACTTTATATATTTGAGTGAATTCGTCAGTAATATGATTAATGTAAACTGTTCTATTCGAGTGAAATTAGTTTTATTCTTTACAATGATGTTGAATTTAACATAATCATGGAAGATAACACCATAAAGAAAAAAGCTTATTCTATTGTTGTATGTTTTAAATAAAAAACTGTACTTACATTATATCAATTTAAGAAACAAGGGTGCTCTTCTTTTATGAACCAATGAATTGTTAAAATGACATTTATGTAATATATGACCAATCTTTTACTGTTTAATAAGTTAGATATTCCCACTATGGTTTTTTGAAAAAAATATCTAGTTTAAACATTAGGTATAACCACCGACTTTCTATTAGGCTGTCTAATTACAATTAAATCAATTTATATTCGAAATATTTAAATTATTACTGTTAGGAGAATCAGAGTATAAGTAACATGAATGACAAGAAAGTAATGATGACAAACGTAACCTGAAAAGACATCCATGTGTTTATACAGTCATCATTAGAAATCATATCGTATCGGTTACAGTAAAATAAATGTTGAAATTATATTCAATTAAGTTTCTGTGATTTATTCTTGATACTGTATGATACCATCTCATCATATTGTATCTTCTTCTTCTTCTTCTTCTTCTTCTTCAAAATCAGGACTTTAATGCAATCTTCAAGTCAAACTGAATTCAGTATTTATTATAATTAATATTAGTGAAAATTAGAGTACATAGATACATTCAATAAATAAAAAGTTAATCAAATTTTTGTCCCATTTTATCTAGAAAAAAACGTATGGTCTATTATTATTAATAATTTTGTTTTTCTAATAAATATTTTGGCAAAACTTTACTACAAGTCACTATTATATATACAGATGTAGTGGTTGAATGTATTTCTTATTTTCTCTTAGAATTTTCTATTTCATGAATTCATTACCTCTTCTCGAATCATAATACTAATGCCCACCTTTTTTCTACAACCACAGATATTATCATTTCATCATTGCTCTGGAATTTTTCTCGGTAATTTTTTCTCGCTGTACTGATATTGCCATGACAACTTGAATTAATGCATACATAATAATAAATAATTATAATGATAATAACTAAATGATAAATAGCGATGGATTTAATAAACAAAATTTAATTCATTTTTTTAAGCAAAGAAGGATGGTGGCCAGCAGTGGAATCCAGGATGCACGTTTCGTACTATTTGGGACTCGTCAGATGGATGTACTTCCATCTCAGAGTTGATGTTCACTCCGGGACTCGAACCCAGTACCATTCGCTTCAAACGTCATCGCGTTATCCACTTAGCTACTAAGTCCTGATAGCCACTTGCTTGTGCTTGTGACTTTCAAATCACTTTATGTTTTAATAAAATTTTCGCATATTAGAATTTGGAGAACTAAACTGATCTGTAAGTTTTCTGTATAGAGCTTTATTACTGAATTGCAATAACTTATAATTTATTGTAAAATTTCTATGAATTACAAACATTAACGTATATTCCATCTAGTTTTAGATCTATCAACTATGTGTGTTTGCTTAATAAAGATATATACAATTTAGAAAAGAAAATAGGCTATCATAGATCAGTAATCAACTATGTGGTTCTTTAGATTTTGAGGTGATAAGTCAAAAATCTTGTGTCTGTAGTAAGACTGATGCTCATTGTGATGCAAAGGTATCATAGTAACATGTTTCTTTGATTCTTATTCTAATCACTAAAGTGTAATGATGTTATAAATTTTTATTACTTAGTCAAATTCAGTGGGAATTATGGAATAAATGAAAACAAAAGACTATGGAGTAAATTAAATTAGTAACGGATTAGTAGAAAAATGTTGATTATTTATATATTTTAAAAATGACCCTGACTGATGTGAATGAATGTGTAAGTAGACAGAAAGAATATTAATATTATTCAGTAGTATGCATAATAAATCACTAATTGTTATTGAATAAACTATTTAACTGTGTAAAAATAGGCAATTGAACGTCTATTCTATTAAATAAGACAATAGTATATATCTAACGACTAATAGTTGCGAAAAATGTGTCTAGAATTAGGTGGTGTTTATCTTTTTTTCTTGTTGAATAACAACTTTTTGTGTTTGTTTAACGCCACAGAAATTGGAAGACAGGAAAATTATCTACATTTGAATGAAATACGATTCATCAACTTTTTCATCATCATCATCATCATCATCATGATTAACAATATGAAAACTTAGTTTTACCAGTTTCATTGATAGGTAAAGTTAGAATTGCTTAGCCATGAGATCAGTTAATTACTTATTGTGACATTGAACACCGCCTAATATATATATATATATATATATATATATATATATATATATATATATATATATATATCTTCGAAACATACGCACATATGTATGATGTGATCACGATACTGAGTATGTTTAGAATGAGTGAGACCGTATCATATTACATGATTATGACCTTAAGAACATAATATTTTGAGATTTTTTCTTAACATAATTAGAATGGGACGTCGTCACTATTTCGATGTTTTTTTTGAATTTAAACGCTGGTTTTAACAACTAATCAATCTGTTAAGTTCTGAACATTGTACAAAGTAAACTACGTCTTTTTCTTATCTTATTAATAAATATTAGTTCATTTTGTGTCAAGATAATCAAACTGGTTCATTCCATCGAGACATCAGATGAAATGTTTGTTTTATAAACTAAGTAATTTTAATGACATTGACTTTTCTACGTTAATCTGTGATTTTACAATGATAATTTTCTATAGAATGTTGTTGTTAATGAAATTAAACAGTTACTTTTGAATTTAATCTGAATAGTCAACTTAATAGTTGACAAAAAAATCAGATGTTTAGGAGTTGCAATGGTTCAATCTTCAGTCAACCATTATATATTAATTTGAAAAATATATATCCATCTGTTAAGTATTATTATTCAATAACGTTACTATTGTTTGTCTGAATAGCTTATCAAGTCAGTATATGATCATCATTACTGATATTATTGATCAAGATAATATTTTACTGATCATTCAAAGGACATATTGTTGACCAATTAAAAATATGTAAATGTTGGCATTTTGTTGAAAAGTATACCTATCTATCATTCATACTGACAACTAGAGGAAATATTCAATGTCTTAAATGTCAATAAAACTTGTGTTGCATTTTGTTTTCTGATTTGTCGATTTCTTAGTTTATATTCAATCATCTATGTATCAAATAAATATTGCTGATTAACATTTATATCCTATAAAGCTTTTATATAACTGTCTATCTTATATCTGTCTATTTTGTTTTAATCATTTATATATTTATTATTAATTAATTAGATATAATGGTTTTATAAGTTCAACTTTTATTAGAGAAACAATAATTCTAGTAACTATAACTTTTCTATGTCATGGGTAGAGATTAATAAGAACAAGAGTGATTTAGTTTTGTTCAGTATTTTCTTTCTTTTTTTTTCTTTATAAAACTGTTTGTCCAAGTGACGTATTCATCTTTTACAAAATTCCATTTTATTGTATTAATAATTTGCTACCTCGTCAAATTAATAAATCTTTAATTAATTACTTGAAAATTGACCTCATTGTGTCAGTTCTCATGAATATATTTTATAAAGAAAAGAAAGTTAAGTGATTATTCAAAGACATTAGTGTGTAAAACTGTTAGATACTTAAAATGCTTTTATATATTAATCCAAATGATGAAATTTTTATTTTGTATCTAAGAGTTGTGTTGGAAAGATTGATCTATTCGTTACTTAGTGGATCGAAAAGATAAGTATCAAAAAATAATGAATTATGGGTTTTAATTCACATGTTTATTGATCAGAGTTTTCTGTTAATTTATAATTTGTATAGTGATCAGATTTTGAACGTGGAATTATATAGTTGATAAGTCGTTTATCTCTAGCATCATTAGGCTATTTTTAATGATCGATTGATATTAATTTTACAATCAATTATGATATTCCCTAAAGCTTATATAAATTGTACAAATCGAAACAATAAGTAATGAGTGGATGTTGTTTGAGGAAATAAAGTTTGGGTTATCAGAATTGATAACAACAGGAAATGCATATTTACGGTGGATCCAGAAGTTCAGGGTTTAAACTTTTGATGACTTTGACCATTGTGAATCCGAGTATAGAATGATTTTCCTGAAATTCTTATAGGAGTATTCACATTATTGTTTGCGGTAGTAAACAGATTCCAAAAAATGCTAGATTTAATATCTGAATAATAGTCAGTGAATACCACTTTTTACAATTTTCAACATAGAGCCAACATTTATTTCTAAATAATTAGCCTAAAATTTCTAGATCAACTTAAATAACGGACACCGTAAATTTTTCCAAAATAAATTGGGCTGGCATGATAAATTCATCGACTTACGGTCATATAAAGTGATCGCGTGTGATATAAAAAGTCTGGCAATTATCAAATACTTAGGTTAGTAGTTCTAAAGTAATTATATTTTTGAATTTGCCCATATTATGTGTTAGTATCACGCAGGACTTTTGTAGGATAGAACATTGTTCATATGTGTCACAATATTACTAGCAAACTAATAATCATGGATATTATTGTAAGTTACTTATTTGAAGCTATCAAATTGAGAATAATATTTATTTGATTATACTCTTAATCATAGGATGACATCAGCTAAAGAAATAACTAGTGAATATCAAGATGAATTAGACAGTTATTTCGTCTTCATCAATGAGCTTCCACAATCACATAAGGGATAAAAGTAAAACCTTCTAAATCTCATATTATAAACACTATGTATATATTCATATTTTAATCTTTCATTTTAAACATAATTCCCTTAAATATACATTTCACAAATATTCATTGATTTGATTTTAAGTGAATAATTCTAATCGTGGAAGTTTTCATGTTATTAAAGCAAAAATATATACATAATAAATAACAAGTTCTTACACAAAAAGTCCTAATGGAAATTTTCAAGTGTTTTTTGCTTCAAGTTTTTGGAACATCTTTTCTACTTCATTGTCGTAAACTGCTAGTACTTACTTGATAAAGATTTTTGTTTGGTTCTAAAATGGAACCATTTTTTATGATCACATTATAATCTATTTTATTGTGTGTATGAACAGTTTATAACATTTCAATATATAATACATACGTATAACAATATTTTCTTAAGAAATACATGCTTTCGATCTTTATTAATAATTCAAAAGTATTACAGGTTTCTTTAAAGTAGAATCATTTTGTTCAGAATATTTAAGTGTCATATTGATAATTATATATCAATCTCAATGTTTTCTTCACTGTAACTATGGTTTATCTTTTGGATGGTTAAAAAACACTGGTCAGTGCTTAGGGTACTTAATGTACTGTCTCAAGAAACTTATTCGAATCCTATGCAAAATTAATTGAATTATTATTAATTTGACTTATGTCAAATACTTCTCTCTCAACATAGTCTTTTAGTCAAAGCATTTTTAAATAGTTTGATTTGAAATTATTCTTTTAAATCTACCGTCGATTTCAGATTTGGATTCCGTTAAAAAAACTTTGGTTGGGCAGTTAATTCGAATAAATACAAATGATTGTAAGTTTTCAGATTAAATGGTAGTCATAAACAATGTTAGTTGAATGGGATCAAAATCAAACCTGGATCAAAGCTGAATCTCGTAGATTAGTTAGTATATCAGCAACTCAGTAATGAATGCTTACAATTTTCAATAATATCCTTTTAGTTTTATTTAATATGCCCGTATACAAGGGTAAATCATAGAACCTGAAACTATCCATAGTATTATAAAGTTGAATTTACGAGTCACTCTAAGCTTAACCACCACTAAGAACCTTGAAGCACTGGACGGCCGTTCCGTTTAAGTATGGGACTCAGCAGTGCACATCCACGATCATGAACGCGTGACTCAAACCCAGGACCTTTGGGTTTAGACCGCTGATCTGGCATCCAAAGGTGATAATGTCCATCCTCAATAGTTGAACCCACTGAAAAACGTTCCAAATTATAATTTTGTTTATAATGGCAGTGGTAGAAGTTATTTAAAATCATGTATCATTTCTGCATTTGAAAGAACAATATGACAAAAACATCTGCCTTACAAACGTTTTAATGGTGCTCAAACCTTTTGGAGGAGTCATGTTCTCTGAGCTGAATGTTTTTACCATAGAACTGTTATTGTACTTCTGAACTTTATTATCGGCACAGACCTTACGTAGAAGAGAGCTTGTTTAAATTGATTGATGAATAGGGTTGATTTTGACGTGTTTATTGTGTAATGATTGACCTGTGTGTTGAACATCTAGAAAATCTATCGTAAGGAATATAACTCAAAACAGAAAAATCATATCAAGTGAAAAAGTGAAGATAGGATAGAATTTTGATAGAATTCAATCAGTGTTAGAATCACATCAATCGATATAAACTAATGATCGAAAACCTGGCACGACTAACGTTATGCCTTGATACATCTTTCTCTAACTTTCTTCCAGACAGCCTCTAGCTAGCATATAGTGTTAGGGTAGGCAGTGACTGAATTACCTAGGGAGACATATTCTAGTCATAAATTTAATCTTAAACTAACGACGTTTTATAAGATTTTAAGAAGTAGCACAATTTAACATATGATCTAGTAAGCTTACGTTTGAAAATCTGTCTTTGACCCTATAGAATGACTCAAGCATAGAATACTTTAAATTTAGAAATTCCAAGCAATGACATTAAGGGAATAATATTTTGAAAAAATAAACACTATGTGATAACTGAGTGAAAAATTGAGTAGGCTGTTTCAACCGTTTGATCTTTAACAGTTAGTCACAAAAAAAGAGAATATCATGTACGTTTGTTTTTGTTCCAGCACCGAAAAAATATGATAAAATTTATTCAAGGGATTTTACAGAAAAAAAGAATATCCTCATAAGTATGAAAAATGTTAATACTACTAACTAGTCAAAACGTTTGTGACTCAGTCTTAAAGTATATAATTTTATTGCATTATAATCAGAATTGAAACATTTATAGATCACTCAGTCTATTATCTTTTTGATGTACATAAAGTTACAGTTTAACGGTATAACCGATAAGTCATTAATCTGTACTATTATGTCTTTATCAGTTTAGGGGTTGTGGAGATTGTTAAGTTTTTGATTGAGATCATTAATCGATTAATGTTAGACCACCATTGAAAACCTGGAAGTACTGGATGGCCGTTTCATCCTGTTGTGGGACTCCTCCGTAGTGCGCATCCACGGCCCCGCTCGCGGGACTCGAACCCAGGGCCTTCGGTCTCGTGCGCGAACGCCTAACCTACTGGACCACTGAGCCGGCACCCAATGGTGTTAATGTCTAACCTCAACCAATCCACGAAGTTATTCAGACATATAGTATGAATTTTAACTTGGTAACAACTCAGTTGATTATCAGTCTGTGCTTTAGACCTTTTTACCTATTATCAATGGAAAATAGAAAATTTGATGTTGTTCTTTAATTTAGATTGGAATTCTGAAAAATTTAAATAAGAATTATATACTAAATGTCTGTCAATTCAAGTTAATGATTATTAACATATAATTGAACTAATTTATAACACTTCTTGGCGAGACTCTAATTTATGGACAACCTTTGAACGAATCTTAAGTGACCTTGAGAAACATTAGCCTATCAGCACACAGTCAGTATAGAGTGAAAATATATTATACAAAACCAAGGAAATAAAGTGGATACACTTCATATACATGGTTCAAAAACTTGTCGAGGTTAGAAAGAGGTTCAGAGGTTCCAAAATCGTGATGCATGTAGTAGAGGAAATCATCCATATGGCTACAGAATAGTCGGCATCTGGAGCCATGCGAAAGTCTCAAAAACTCTTTCAGCCACGACCACACAGCTTCAACATTGTTTATGTGCACTCCAGTTGTCGAGTGCACAAAATTCTACTTTTGGATAACGACACGATGCACATAACCAAGCCTGTGTAGGAGTCTGTACGCTCTCCAAACATCCGTATATATTGTAGTACCTGGGTGAAGTCGGTGTTACTGGTGCTTTTACTATGCAGTTCGCGATAATTTTCGTAATTTACCTTGGTTAGGAATTATATATGGAGTTTTCATCACGAAATGACATCAGCTATAATGCCAGAAATTTATTTAGTCAAATGGATGAAAGGCTTTCACTTTAAAATCCGAGATCTGTTGTCTTATACCTGATTGATTCGTCCACAAATTATAGTTTCGCCATCTTATTTGTTATAGCCGCTCATTTATTACGTTTTGTACAATATTCCCTGTGAACCGATCGTATGTTAGCCTTAAGCACTGAAGTTGGCGTCGTAACCTTGAAATCTCTAAAACGCTTCTGATTAGCTCGTCCATAAATTAGAGTCTCGCCGTTTCATCTATTATAATAAAATTAATATGATGACTGCTTTTATGTAATAACTTGATTGGTGTGAAAAATATAAAAGTTGAGATATACAGTGAAAGTTATACTTGTATATTTAAATGTCAAAGATAAGTCAAATAAATATTCAAGAAAAAAGTAATTAAAATCAGTGAATTATGTTTGTTGTAATGCAACAACATTATAAATAGTAAATGAATGAGATAATGTAATTCAATGACGTAATCATATATATTTTGTTTCATTAAAACAAAACAAAAACGATGTTAAATATTTGAAAAAAAAATTGTTGTTTTAATTTAATTGTTTCATTGGTTCTATTTATAAATCGAATTTTTATTTTATTCTACTTTCATTAGATATGAATATTTAAATGAACCAAAAAAACGTATGTTAAATGGACTTAGATTTCAAGAATTACTACGTTTACAAAAATTAAAAGATAGTGCTAAATGGCTTGAAGATCTGTAAGTTTATGTAATAATGTTAGTTTCGAATTTTTAATAAATAATTATACTCTTTCATCATTTATTAAAGATGTATATCCTGAAGTTCTAGGGAGAAGTAGTGACCAGTGTAGTTCAACCGGGTCAATTGTGAGATGGTAACTCATTGATGACAATATTGGATGTGTCGCCCAATTTCGTGGATTAATTGAAGTTAGACATTAATACTGTTGGATGCCGGCTCAGAAGTCTGGTGGTTAAGTGCTCGCGTGTGAGGCCAGTAGGTCCTGGGCTTGAATCCCGCGGGGTGAGGTCATGGATGAGCACTGCTGAGGAGTCCCACAATAGGACGAAACAGCTGTTCAGTGCTCCCAGGTTTTCCATTGTGGTCTAGTATCAATTGACCCATGGTCTCAACAAATGAAATTTATTAAAGATATTAATTTACCATAAAAAGTGTACTTTTTCACAGTAAAGTTTTAAATGATCTATAATAATAATATATTGATAGTATAATAAAAAATGAAAATGATAGTAGTTATCTATAGGCTAGTAAATGTGTTAAATAATTAGACAATCTTTAACTGTTCATTGCTAAAGAGTCCCACAATAGGGCAAAACGGCCGTCCAGTGCTTTCAGGTTTTCCATTGTGGTCTGGCTTTAATTAGCTCATGGTTTCAACTATTGAAATGTTTATTTCATAGCTATCAACTTACACACTTTTTTCCTCTTTTACTGAAATGTCATAAATTATTTGTTGCAAAAGGAAATTGGTTATTTATAAAGATAATTAATTTTTTCATAATAAAATGAGAATTCTAATTGCAAAGGGTTTCTGACTAAGAAAATACAGAATGTTTAAAAAAGGGTTATCTATAAGTAGGTGAAATTCGATAATGTTCCACAAAGTACAGATTCATGAATTTACGGTGTTTTGAGTAAATATATGCTTTTATAGTAGTAATTTGTTATATTCGTCCTAATGTAAGACGATTGATAATATCTTGTATTATTGTGTCATCACATAGTCGTGATTTATTTATTTGAAATAATTAATAATCTAATTTTTTATTGGTAAATAGCAAAATAAACAAAACTGTAAATTCACTTATGATTATTTGCTCGTATCTTCCTATCGTTGTTAAGGTCTGAAATCGACCAGTCTCCTGTTGGTATATGTACACCCTGTGCGGAGTGCTTCAATATTGCCTTACGTTACGAGCTGTATAAGCAAAGATGGATGGTGGCTAAAAGTGGAATCCAGGATGCGCTTTTCGTCCTATTTGGGACTCGTCAGCTGGATGTACCTACATCCTAGAGTTGATGTTCACTCGGGATGCACATATACCAATAAGAAACTGATCAATTACAGACCTTAACAACAATGGAAAGATACAAGGAAATAATATTAAGGGAATTTAAATTTCACCCCATCGCACAAGCAAGTGGCTATCAGGACTCAGTAGCTAGGTGGATAACGCGATGGTGTTTGGAGGTTACGGTACTGGGTTGGAGTCGCAGAGTGAACATCAACTCTTAGATGCAGGTTCACCCAGCTGAAGTGTCCTAAATAGTACCAAACATGAGTCCTGGATTCCACTGCTAACCACCATCCATCTTTGCTTATAAAGACTGTAAATTATATTGAGTTAAACTATTTTAGTATGCTTTTAATGGGTGTACCACTAAAGTATTGAGTTTTTCGATTTTAATATTTCATTATTCCGACAACTAAATATTGAATAAAATGTTATTAATTCATTACTAAGGATTCTTTGTTGTAATACGTTTACCCAAATGCCTTCATCAGTATAGACTGAATTTGTCACATTGTAAAGAGTAATTTTTTTATTCATCAAATGTGACAATTGAAAGCCATTTTTCTATTTTTATTAACACAGATATCGTTCATTCCTATTCCATTGAAATAATATAAGTACTAATCATAAATGTTAGTGAAAGTATTTTTTCTTCATTCAGGATTAAATGAGAAAAAAAGTAGTTTGAAGAATTAAGGTCTATCTCATACTTTTTAGATGCAACAAAATAATTATAGATCAACAAATGTAGTCATATTTCAGGAACAATCTAACCAACAGCCCACAACTTACCAACTAGTAATTTCAATGGTTAAGATCATGAGTCAGTTGAAGCTAGACCACCATATGCTAGACCAACATATGCTCACTAGTGACTGGCTTCATGAGGTATATCCTGAAGTTCTAGTGAGAAGTAGTGATCAGTGGAGTTCATCCAGGTCTGTTGTGAGATAGTGACTCACTGAAGACAATGGTCAATGTGTCGCTCAATTTCGTGGATTAGTTGAAGTTAGACATTAACACCGTTGGATGCCGGCTCAGTGGTCTAGTGGTTAAGTGCTCGGGCGCGAAACCTGTAGGTCCTGGGTTCGAATCTCGCAGGGGGCGAGGTCGTGGGTGTGCACTGCTGAGGAGTCCCACAATAAGACGGAACAGTCGTCCTGTGCTTCCAGGTTTCCCATGGTGGTCTAGCTTCAACTGACTCATGATCTTAACCATTGAAATTACTACAATCTCCACAAAAACTCATCTGATATTTACCAACTAGTGTTTTCAGAAAATTCATGTTTTTTGCACCACTTCAACACAAAAATCTATCCAGACAAAGATATCTCATTTCACTAAGAAAGGCTACAATATTGAATAGACTCATCTCGACAGATTTATATTTTAAATTAACCATAAATAAGACAATTAAGTATTACAAATGGATACCATTTTAGATTTTATTTCCTAAACGTTTATCTTTTTTTCTGTTTATTAGACAAACTAAATTGTGATGTTATACAATACAATATAAGCTTCCTTAAATTCAATATCTATGTACTTTTATGTATGATATTTATATGTTTATGTATCATACAAAAAATGTTAATATTTCGACAGATGATTTTAAAAAATAAACATTATTTTTGATTCTCAACGGAATTTTGCAATACAAGAAAGCTTAATCATTATAGTCTCTATGTTAATAACTCCTATTTATGTATATAATTGTTGTTACTATCACTATGGTCACAGAGATAGAATTTTTATTCTATTGCCATTTAAAAAAATACACAACCTATTTACTAACTATTACTTCAAGAACAAAAGTTTTAATGTAAACAGGTGTATTATATTTCTCTATATTATACTTTACGTGTTAACGAATTAGTAATGTGATTTGAAAACATTATTGTATGTTTTTTTTCCAACTTTTCCAGTGTTTATTTTATTGGCTTATTTATTTATCTCCTTTCATTTACTTTTATTTTAGAGGGAAACGTTCTTCAATTTATGGAATAAATTCATTAGCTGATGATGAATATGATTGAATAGAACCTTAATATTGACGCCACCGACCAAAAAAAAATACTGAAAAACGTTTGCCAAAAAGTTTAATTAACAAATGTAATACAAATTGCTAAAATGTTTGTAAATGATTTTATTTATAATAAATTTGATAAATAATAACCGTTCAGTGTAAAAGTTGGTGAAGCTTAAATTGGTTCCATGGTTTCCATTTTTATGAAGCAGCCAGTCTGGTAGTGATGATCTTCCAGTTACTTTTGATTAAATTATTATAAGTAAGAACGTGCAAATGAAATTAACAATAAAACCAAAACTTCTAGTATTCCTTTATAATGGTAATCATAAGTGGAGAAATGGTTTTTCAATCGCTGTCCAAGATCAGATTGAGGTTTCCATCTTATAGTGAGTTTTATAGACATACTGATGATGGACTGATTAAGTTTAGCATCGATCACTTTTTAGTCAATTATTTTATCAGAAATTAGGTTAACGTTGTGCTCCATTCATTACTCGACAGTTTGAAGTTACAAAAGCGGTATAAGAACAATATTTTATTATCTGATATGAAAATAGCAAAGTGTATGACACCATTCGTGAGTTCAAAAACTGTCTCTAATAAACTAACCTCGTGCGGCAACTGAACTTTAACTCGGAATACCACTTCCTAAAGTATGATATCTACAAAATCAGCTTGAAACGAGAGTTCCACGAATTTCCGAATCTAGGTCCCACTAAATATGAAAAAAGCCACTATTCTGTTTTTACCCCTGAGGACTGAGCAAATATGCATTTCGACGAAAGTTGATGACGTTTAGGAAAACTTCTGACGAATTTTTGTAGAAATAGCTATATATCTAGATGCACCGATAGAAACCTTAAACTAAAACAAAGATTCGTATGATCCATGTGATAGTTATCAGAAAGAATCATTGAACGAATAAACAGTCGATGGGAGTAGCCCAACTGAAACCCTAAGGAAGAAACGTTTTAGATCTCGAACTACAATATTATACGTTACCAAGCCTCTTGTTATCTCCTCTAACTAGTCTTTGATTCTTAGATGTGCAAACTCTGATAATGAGCTGGATCAATAAGTTTATGGGCAAGGTTTAGAATTAATATAATGAGGTGACACTGATTCACTCGCCTGAACGTTGATTCAAACTCTTTGCACAATCAGTTGGGACCTCAAAGTCCAAATCTAGATGAAATAAGTGTGGAAAGTTAAGCGCTTGAAGATTGTGAGAGATGAATCAGAAAATAATTTCAAAGTATAAAGTGTAGTGTTTATCTAGTTATACCTTAATCTGTTTACTTCAAGTAAAATGCCTAAAAAGCAACTAGGTAAGAAACTTACCCACTACTTTCAAATGAATCAATCCTTGTAGGTATACAAATTATACATATGTTTGAAAATAAGCAATCGTCTAGCTGTTTTTAGCCTACTAAAACAGAATTATCTAAAAAATCATGCTAATCTTTCCAAATTCCTGTGCTTCTTATATATTTCAGACCTCCCAATTATTATTTTATTCGTGATTTGAGTAACTCTTTTCCCTAGTGTATTATCACTTTTATTAATGTCGTTCCTTACTACTTTGTATATATTTACGTTAACAACTCCGCTTCCTTCCTTAGTAGAATATCTTTTTCTTCTTGCCTCACAATTGTTCATTCAATTAGAATGAATTTTATGTTTTCTAACATCGTTTAATATCTTTTATTTCAAAGCTTTGACTGTCAAATTTGTAATTATATTCAGGTGTGTAAATTAAGCTTTTTACTATTATTTATGCACATAAACAACTCATTTCCCAATATGATATTCTGTAGATGACATACAAATTGGAAATAAGCTTTTATCATCAACCGATATCATATCGGATGAAGCTAATGTAAAATAGCGAATCTGTTCTACTGCATAAAAGAGTGTTTAATATTTGATCTGTTTATATCCAAATATGAGTAAGCAGATAGTGAGACCTTCATACTTTCTCTATTTTATGTAAACGTGGAATTGTCTGACCTACAAACATGAAATGATTTTAAAATTTGGAGATAATTAAGGGGTTTCCTTTCAGTTCGTATAAAAAAAGTTTAATTCATTACTGTTAGATATTAACGACCAACATACATTCTTACTGTAAAGTGAATTCTTTCAACAAATCATAATCAACCTTCTAACAGACTAGCACAAAAGTGAGTCACATTACTTTAAAAATTAATGTCTAGTTATTCAGTACGAAACATTTCTAATTTTCTACTATCTAAATGATTTTGTAAATGTCCGATAGTACATTTTTGTTTACATAGAGTAATATGAACTGTGTTATTTTTCCCGTAATTTAGTCATGTGTAACGGTACAGTAGTGAGTCTGAATGGAGTTTTATTTTACATTAACAAATCGAGGTTTCTCAATATTCAGTCATATTTTACTTGAATAACACTGTGTAAAGTATAGTGAATGTTGTATTAATATATCACTTTTCTAAGAAGGATTATCTATACAATATAAAACCAAACTTACTATTTTCTCAAGAATTTCGATATTAAAAGGAACGAAGACGTTTCAGTGAAGAAAAGATTCCTTGCAACGATATCATTTTCTGAAGTTGTAAAATCGTATTTATAGGTGATTTTTTAAATGTTGTAGTTTATTGTACTCTATTGCAAAATAGAGGAATATTACAAAATTATCAATGATAGTCAAACTTATTCAAATGGAGGTCAATCAAAATGAAGTGGTGTTGCATAATATAGTTGAGATTATCAAAAATCTTCGAGTATTTCCAGTGGTAATTAATAAGTGGAAGTCTTATTTTAATGTAATTAAAGTTCTTAGGTATTGAATAAAAAAGAGTGCACCATTCAATGAAGTAATCAACAATTATCAAGAGCTTACATTACGTAATAGTTTCGAAAGTAATAAAGGAGAATAAAGCAATAATTAGCAATTGTAATATATAGAATTGAAAGGGATGTTAAAATCATGAAAGAATTAGGGAGTGAATGTGACTCTTCTGTACTTAGAGTTTGGGTTTGAAATGAATTTTTATAGATCCGGCTGTGCATAACTTCCTCATCCAAACATTTTTGATCCAGTTCTTCTTACTTTGTAGAGGGGGGTGGGGTGTGACTTGAATTGACCATGTGTTCAAGAGCTGAGTTATAGATTAATTTGTATACACTTTTATGTAACCATGGCGGATAGTGCTTTGTGTGCGCTTCGTACGGCCGACGTAACCCGCCCCACAGGAGCAACCAAACTGGTAGATTTACACTGAGGTGTCCCAAGGCGGCATTTTATCCTTGACCTCTCCCTGAATAAGTTTCTCGCAGGAGGTAACGGTCAGGAGCTCTGTTGAATTAAAAGTCTCTCTAGATAGTCTGTTCTTTAATATCTTAGCCACTGTTTCGAGAGTAAATTTTTCTTCGGAACTGTAGGAGTTATTTGAAATTGACTTTTGGTTTTAGATTACCTTCAATGATTTTGGCTGGGGAGCCAGAAAATTTGTGTATTGCCCTTTCTAGTTTGGCTTTCTTTATAGCGATCATCGTAGGAACCCATCTGATCTTCGTTTCAGTAGAACGTCAAGTAAGTAGAATTTTGAGTTCAACTCCGCTTTTATTATGAACCTAATCAAGCGGTAACAATTATTGAACCCTTGTAATATTTTATTTAGGTCGCTGTCTCATTCACAGATGATAAAATTATCATCTATACATCTCTTATAAAAATAGAATTTTTCATCAATTCGAAGCATGCAAATGCAGATTATCTAACCTCTGTCCGAAAAAATACATGATTGGATTATGTTGTGCAAAGGTAGTCAATACTTGAAAACTAAAATACCAAATTATGGTTGTATTTTTATTTGAGGAACTTATAAACATGAATTTTAAATCTAAATCTAAAGTGTCATGTAGAATTGTTTGTCACACACAGGGAAGAAACGATTGCCAACCATTTATGGTTTACAGTTGATTCTATGAATGAAGTCTGATGCCATTAAGTAATTCTTTTGGGCAAATTAAACATAAACTAACATTTTTAATAAATAAAATAGGATTTTAGATTTATCTGTATTGACCATTATCAGAATTTTGATCATACAACTACCAAATACTACAGATATGATGATTTTTACGTATATATATATACTGAAAAGTCAAAGTAAGATACAAAATCAAAATATGTAAGGAAATATTCTTGTGTAACTCTGGTATAAAGTTTTAGTCAGAACTTCTACAAGTAGCTGATGATAAGCATAGTATATTTAGCAATTATAACTATCTGAGTACTTATTCCGCTTGATACTGATACTTTAGATTTTATTCTTGAAACGTTGTCTAACATTCAGATTATGATCTGATGGTCCACATTTCTCACTATAAATTGGTTTGTAACTAGTCGCAAATAGTTACACATTACTAAGGATAAAAGTTCATTCGCATTACCGAAAGAACTGCATCTACCGATGATGCCTTTTCACTTCCATTATGGAATATTTCTATCAAAGCAATAATCTGATGGTAGGTTTGAAGGTAAATTTAATGACAAACTGAGACTAACTGGAAAATCCCTGTAAACTATAAAATAACCGAGAGAAATTCCATACATTTATTCATGGATATGGATAAATAATGTAGTAATTTGTCCTAATATTAATTTTCCAGAGACATAGGTAGCTCGTTTAATGCCCCAGTATTTACTTCTTAGCCATACTAGTGAGAACTTAAATCTGAAACTTGTGATGATTCACACTACATATTCACCTCAATTTAGAGATATGTATTTAAAATAAAATCAACTTACACAGTAGTAAGTGATCTTCAAATTCTGCTGAATTTTTATAAAAAACCCTAAATTTTGGGCAAATGTTCAGTAATGACCTGACCAGGCAGAGAATATGAATTGGAAACTTTAAAATTATGTGATAAGCTACTACCAATAGTCTTAATAATCGCTTCATGAATATTTTGAAAATTTCAAGTTTTCCTTTATGAATCTTAAAAGAACAT